AAAAAAAAAAAAAGAAAGAAAGAAATGAATTCTAAAGGTATTAACATTTGCCCACAGTTGCAAGCAGTTCAAGCAACACTTGGCCTATAACTTCTAATATTTTACTGTAGTGGTAGGTATGTGACTGTTTATTCACTTGTAAGTTACACTCTGCAAATTTCCAGTCTGCAAACTTTCAGGTAATTTATGATGGAAGACATGTATGTAAACATTCTAGAAAAATAGCAAAACACCTCCCCAGAGACTAAGAACCTTGCTGTCTGATATATATGGCTGCTGAGCCCTTCGAAAGTATTTCATCAATACTGAAATGCACTATAAATATAAAATACCTACCAGAGTTTTCAGATCTCATCTAAGAAAGTAAAGAATATAAAGCTGCTCATATATTTATATGGCTCTTACTGGCATTATTTTAAATATCTGCTGAAATGACAATATTTTGGATGTATTAGGTTCAGTAAAATATATTGTTAAAGCTTACTCCATTCATCCCATTTTACTTTTTAAGAGAACTACTAAAAATTTTAAATGAAATAGATGGCTCATGTTGAATTTCTACTGGATAGCACCAGTCATTTAATGTAACTATTGTCCTTGAACACAGAATTTACCTCCTAGCTCCTGAGAAAGGGAAATATGTCTCAGACAATTTTTCTCATCTTATTAGAAGAAACTTACTTCCTTTTTCAAGGGACAAACATTTTCCTGAAAATAAATTACCAAAAGATTTCATCTGTGGATCTTGCACCGGCAACATTAGGCAAGAAGTGATAATGCCTTAAACTGTGTTTTTAAAGAACATGTAGAAACATTGTCCCTGGATATTTTTATACTGCCTTAAAAAAAAAGAAAAGAAAAGAAAACCCCTAAACATCTAGTATTCAAAGACACATCAGGAGAAATGGTTATTTGAGAGACAAAGCCACTGAGGTCTGATTACTTCCATCTTTCTCCCTTCCCTCATTACACACATTAAAACCCTGAAAATATTTCAGAGTGATGAGTAGATATTTTGTATGTTAAATTATTTTATTATTCACACTTCCATTGGCACAACTTCCTGTGCAATGTGCACAAAGGCTATTCCACGGTGAATTCTGTCAAGATATTCATGTGCAGTGAGCCTGTTGCCGTAACAGCCCAGACCTCATCCTGTCACACCCCCCCCACCCCCAACATGCCTGTCCTGGGGTCAGCATAGCACTCACCCCCTACTGTGTCCTTAAGTGAATAATCTCACTGAACCTCAGTTTCCTTGTATCCCAAATAGAGATGGTCACACATGTTTGTTGTGTTGTGTAAAACAAAAGTAGAGAACGCCGGGCACATTTATTGAGTGGTAATACATGTTGACAGTTTGCCTCTCAAGCTGTCATGATTGTGGCCAATGGAAGCAACACCTTTATGTTCTGGGTATAATGACTTCCTGCTATAAGAGAGTGTGTGTGTGTGTCTCCTGTTCATGCGAAGCTGGCACCTCTGCTACCCTATTCCAATGTTGATCAGTAGAGCACCTCCATGATACCTTGTAATTCTGATAGCTCAGGGTCCATGAGTGTTGTGGAATGTTGGTTCTCATTTGGCATTGCATCAATAAAGCAAATAGGAACACCTGATGGAATTTTGTGTCCCTTCTCTAATGAAGTGGGATCCTGACATCCACTTCAAACAATTGCATCTCCATGCAGTGCCTTGCAAAGAGAAAGCGGTGAGAATTCATGCCAGATGATTCTAAGAAACTTCCACCTGTTCTGCTTGATGGCCATAAGGCAGTCTGATGGACTGAATATCTTAGTGCTTTACTCATTTTTCTGCAGAGATTTCCATATAAGTGAAGAGAGCAGACTTGCCCTTGCTACCCTGTATTGTCTCTTCCCCTCATGTGTCCTTACTAGGAGTATTACAAAGTGCAAAATTTCAAGGACTCATGCTATATATGTTTTAACATGATAACAAGTTGCCGTTAATTTATTTCAACATTAGTCCTAAACTTCTAAATATCATTATGGTATTCTGACTATGAAGAAAGTCACCCTGCTTAGAGTAAGGCACTCAAAAAAATTTACAGTGTACTAATTCATCCTTCTTTCTCTTGTCATCTAAGTATTTTTGCGGAACGTACTATTTAGTGTAGTAGGATCAATGAATTTGGCACAGCCCAAAGAAAGATACAAATGGTCCCCAATTTATAATGCATATGATTTATAATTTTTAGGCTTTGTGATGATGTGAAGTGATAGCACGTAGTGGAAACCCCACTTGGAATGTTGACTCATGCTCCTTCCCCACATTAGTGATACGGTTCTCACATGACCTCATGGTACCTCCAGGCAGCCAGGCAATCATGAGGATAAAATCCTGATATTGCATGGACTAGTTTTCATTTTAGTGCCCTTTTCATTAGGATTCAGGAGAGATCGACATTTTATTACAAAGCGGGCTTTCTGTTAGATGATTGCCCAACTGTAATGTAAGTGCTCTGAGCACTTAGGGTGGGTGAGGTTAAATCATGATGCTCGTAGCTTAGTTATATTTAATGCGTTTTGGACTTAATGTATTTTCAACTTAATATGAGTTTATCTGGTATCACTTTCATAAGACAAGAGGGGTGTGTATTTTCATAACACATGCTTGCTATTAAAAGATGTCAAGAAGCAGAATATGGCAACTGTGTCTCCGGCTCATGGCCTCAGCATCGGCTCACTCATTTCCATCCACAGTCCAGCAGAGGCAACCTGCTGCGCCTCTTCTACTCTCCTGTCAATATGGACACAGTTTCCTGAAGTTGTTACAGGATGAACATAGCTGGGAATTATACATGCCCCATTGAACATAAACAAACAAACAAACAAACAAATAAATAGCCCTCCCTGATGGCGCAATGGGTTGAAGTGCAGCACCCTGAAGCAATCCACATCCACAGCCACTGCAGCGTGAGTTCGATCGCTGGCCAGGAGAGATGTCCCACTGCTCCCCTCAGCAGTATATTTCAGTCAGTCCACCTGTTCTGTTCCCCATGTTGTGTCTGGTGAATCCTCTCACCACCCCCTGCCCTGCATGTCTGGCCTGTAACCCAGGTCTTGTATGCAAAACACAAATAAATCTTTGTTTTAAAAAAATGAATAAATAGGTGAAATTCATATGAGACATTGTTTCTCCCCAAAAGGACTGTCATTGTCACCACCATGTCCTTTCTGCCTCTACCTCTTTCTGGTGCAACACAGATTTACTCCAGTTCCTGTGTTTGGACTCAGCTAGAGCTTGTCCTTGGAGTAACCTCTACTTCAAGTGGTTTATTGAAATGCTTCTTTCTAAACCTTTTTTTTTTGGGGGGGGGGCGTCCTCTGGAGAGCAAACCTCTCCACTTTGCAGTGACTGGCATGTTTTGTGAATCGAGCTCTGTGTCCCTGCAGGTCAGAGCCAAGCAGCCCTGACCATGGCTCTTCAACGATTGAGCAAGATCTTGCTGCGCTGGATGCTGAAATGACCCAGAAGTTAATAGACTTGAAGGACAAACAACAGCAGCAACTGCTTAATCTCCGGCAAGAGCAGTATTATAGTGAAAAATACCAGAAGCGAGAACATATTAAACTGGTAAGCCCAAGAGACGTGACTTATGTTTCTATAGCCAAAAGCCTGTTTTCTAAGACAAAACTTTGATTCTGTTGGAGAACCATTAAGAAGAGTTCTGCCTCTACCTTCCCAGTGGCAGTTCCACCTGGGACCTCCTTAGCAAACAATCTTATTTTGATGCAAATCGCACATTGCAAGGTCTCTAAAAATACAATCAATACCCAACACTAGAGTTTTGTTGTTGTTGTTTTTTTTTTTAGATTTATTTATTTACTCATACAGAACTGGGGTACAAGCCAGAGATGTGGAGGGTAAAAGGATTCACCAGAGACAGTCTGGGGAGCAGAACAGGCAGATCGGCAAAGTACACTGCTGAGGGGAGCACAGGCGGGTCAGGAGAGGTCTGCCATGCCATGTGGATCTCCTCAGGGCAGGTGGGGATTGAACTCATGCGGAAGTGGCTTGAGCTTCTTAGTGCAGTGCTTTAACCCGCTGCGCCACCAGGAAGGGCCTCAACACTAGAGTTTTAAAAGCAACAGACTCAAAATATCTTAGAGCTGGAAATTACCAAGACCACTTATTTATTAACCCCACTTCTCCAGTTCCTTTATGTACTTTCTCTGTTCCATAATGAGTCTGTTATATTCTTTTTACTCTCATTAATGTGTTTGAGGGTCATGATAAGTTTGTGAGACCTTTGCAGTCTCGAGGAATTAGAACTCGCCCATGTCCGTTTAAAAAAAAATCAAGAAAATGATGCAAATGTTTACCTTATTGTGATATACATGGATTTTGCAAAAACTAGGGGAAAATGCAGAATCCATTCTCTTACATTCGGGAAAGCAGTGTCTAAATGGCCATGGCGAGTGGTGTCTGCCCAGTTCCCAAGACTCGCTTTGAGAAAATGCCTTCACGTTCATTGCTGATGGATTTTGTCCTACCGTCTGATACAATTGGGTAAATAGATTAAGTACATACATCAATAAAGTGGCTTGGATACAAGCTGTGTCAAAAACAAGTCAAGTCAATAGATGATAAAGTTGTGTTCCCAGAGGAAATAGGATCTAAGAGGCGTGTGCCAGGCCTGTCCACTCTTTCACTGAAGGACTGTCCATCCGTCTAAGAGAATTCTGAGGCTGTTTCTGCTTGGAGAGTAGCTAAGGAGTGACTGTGTGAGGAGTGATTCAATACTCTTTGCTCTGGTGTTCGTTCCCCCATCACACTATGCTAAGGAGCAGGTAATTGTCACAAGTGGGGCTTATACAAGGTCACATTCCATTTGACCAGTTATTCTCAACTTAAGCTTGCTCCGAATCACCTGAAGGGCTGGTATAGGTCCAACCCTAAATTTTTAATTCAACAGACCTCTAGTAAGACTGGTGATGCAAACACTTCTATCCCTAGGCTGACACTTAGAGACCGCTGCCTCTTACCTAAGTGTGAGGCTCAAGGATTCATTTTTAATGAACTCCACCTGATTTTGCTGGGCTTTGTTTTGTGAACTATGAAATGAACTCTCAGTAATGAAATGGATCAGGTATGTATCAGAGGGCATTGCCTCAACATACTGGAGGTCACAATGAACTTTAATGGAGATGGTGGCTTTGGGACCAGCTACAGGCACTCCTGACTTTCTTCAGTGCCTCACCCTACGGCTCCAGAAAATAACAGTGATAAGCATTTTAAAAGCTGACATCTATTGATCACCCCATAGGGCCATACACTTTCTAAACCATCCAGAACTGTCTAATTTAACCCTCAACCTTGTCAGTCCATCTTGTAGTTTAAAAAATTTACAGAAAAACATGAGCTTTCAAAGCTTCTGTAATAAGAAGTGGGTGCAGGTCGGATTTAAACCTTGGTCCTCTGGCCCTGGAGACCCTGCTTTATAACCATTATGCAACGGCCACCACTAATCCAGGCTAGAAGTCATTGTTCGCACACAGAACACACAGCACTAGCCTCCTCATTTCAGTGACTGGGATACTGTACCTCACTTTTTTTTTAAAAAGATTTATTTATTTGTGCATACAGAACTGGGGTACAGGCCAGAGGCTCAGGGATGGTGAGAGGCTTCACCAGAGACAGAGTGGGGAACAGAACAGGCAGATCGACGAAGTACACTGCTGAGGGGAGCAGCGGGCGGGTCAGGAGAGATCTGCCACGCCATGTGGTCACCTCCGGGGCAGGCAGGAATCGAACTCATGCAGAAACGGCTTTAGATTCTCAGTGCTGTGCATTAACCCACTGCGCCACCAGGGAGGGCCCCTGTTCCTCACTTTGTTGACAGCTTTGTGTTCACTGCACCATGAAACTCATTTTAAATTACAGCTCAATGATTTGAAAATACCGCTGGTGGATTGGAGTTTCAGAGAAAGCCTCAGTACCTATCAACCACACCTATACGCCTCTTCCCTAAAAAAGTTAAGACACACCTACCTTGGATTTAGAACCAAACAAAGTTTATTTTACGGCTTTTGGAGAAGGCATCGACAATTTATACCACCTGCCCTTATCTGTTGTTTGTATCAGAACTTTCTCCCAACTGCATTTGCAATAACCAGATATTGTTCTGCCAGGAAATCATTTGACAAAAAGACACCCAGAAGTATAAGTTCTATCCTTGGTTGTGGTTTTGAATTACCACCAGTCTCTGGCTCATTTAGACAAGTGGAAGTGTAATTAAAAAACAAGCAGACCCCAGTAAAAAGAGGAAAAATAAGCAGGAGATTGTTAATCTCCCAAAATTGATTCAGGAATTCCATGAAAATACGTGTGGCTAACGGGTCACACATTTTAGATGCTAACACCAAAGTTCAAGATCAAGAATGAAACTGTGTCATCATTAAAATCCCTGTCAAATTTTCATTAAAATCTTAATATTTGCAAAGCAGCCCGATAGACACTGGAGATAAAGTTGATGAACATGTGGCCACTGTACATCCTGGGGGAGCATGTATTATAAACCATTCTGATACCCTGAGATTGATGAGGCCATAAAGGTACCGGCAAATGGATATGAACATGCAGACCAGGGACCAACAGGACTAGTTCTACAAGCTGTTAAACACTAAGAGTATTTTTGAGCTACTTTGCCTTATTATCATGGGAAGTACAAAATGTGCATCAAACTTCACAGACTCCCAGCTTCAAAGAGTTTTCTCTACATGCACAAATAAGTATCTTCATCCTTAACGCGCTACATGCAGTAATTTTGCAGTCTGGTTACACGATGTGGCCCCCAAATGAGCTAGAAGCTTAGACATGCAGATACTCAGATCCCACCCCAGAAATGCTAACTCACAACTTGCATTTTATTATGTTACTTTGGTCAAAATGTTATCTATTTATTTTATCTTGTAGAGTTAATGTTGGTTTACAACACTTTGTTTTAGGGGTACAGATACACACCTCTTCAAAAATTGTTACCACACCATGTATACCACCAAAGTACCTATGATCCTCCACCATCATGCACTCAGTCCATTTGGCTCCTTCTCCCTTTGTTCTCCAACTCCCACCACCCACATTCTCAGGTAGCCTCATTTCTGCAGTCAGATTTCTAGGGGTTGTTTTGGTTATTTTTGTTTGTTTCTTCATTTTGTTTCTTTGGAATCCACATATGAGTGAAATCATATGGTGTTTGTCTTTGAGCTTCTGACTTACTTTGTTTACTATAATGCCCCAAGTTCCATCCATATTGTTGCAGATGTTTATACCTCAGTTGTATTCCATTATATACATATATGTATAAATATATGCATGCATATATACATATATGTTCTATATGTGTGTGGAACATATATGGATACACCAATGTGTGTGTGTGTTATATACCACCACATCTTAATCCATTCATCTGTCATTGGGCAATTGCAGTGGTATCTCAGTAGGAGTCCAGGTAACATGTTACACATTCAAGTTGAAGAAATTTGTTTTGAGGACCTTGGAATACTTATATTGCTGAAAATACTTTTCAAATATGATTGACCTTACTTTAGTTGCAAGGGAAAGTACAAAGTGCCCTCCACTATTCAGTTTGATCATCAGTATATAAACATATTTTGTTGACGAAAGTGGGGCCTACCAAAATCACTCCTGTGATTTCCTTCCTGTATTCACAAAAGAAAGCAAAACATTACTTTTAGGTAGAAGTGAGAGAAAATAAAGATGGAAGTTCCCTGAACCCATTCAGGGTGGTATACACCCTAAAATCTTGGGATTTTCTGAAGCCCAGATAAGAAAACGTATTCCAGGGAAGAACTACAGGGCTAGGGAATCCACTCTAAGTCCTTTACCTGGTTTGCATTGACTGCAATAGGTTCACCTAGGGTTATATTTATGTGATCAGAGTTAGGCTTTAATTTTAAGGTAACTTTGGAAAGAACCCTCGGGTCCACTGAGGGTTCATGATCACTCTCAATCACAGCAGTATACCAAAGCTTAATAAGACCCACAGCATAGGAAGGGAATTTCAGGTGATGTTGTGGGGTTGCTTGTCAGTTGGCAGAAGCCTTTGGCCTCCATCTTGTATGTCTTTTTTTCCTCTGGTTTAATGGCTTAGAAAAAAAGATTTCCTCAGTTTAGCTCACAGGTGTCTCATCCTTGATCCTCTGCAGAGCCCCCTATATTGGATGGCTCTCAACCTCTTCTCCACTTTCCTTTATTTTCAGTCTCACGTATTCCAGTCCCATTCATTTGTCCTATCCTTCACATCTACCTTAATGACTCATTCTTCTGCCTAGCCCGCCTGTGTCTCAAGCCAACAACATACGACCCACAGGGTTAAATTTCCCAATTCCCTGCCAGTCCCAGGTGATTGAAATAACATTTTCACAGAAAGTTGGGTGAATGCTGATTAGCTGTGAATGGAATGGCCATCCATATGTGAGCAGAGATGAGTGGGACTCTGGAATCAAATACACTGATTTCTGCCCACTGTAGCTGTGAACTTCAGTTTTCCATCAGTCCCAAGGACATAAAACTAATCTTCAATTCACTGAACTTTAAAGATTCATCTT